AGGACTCCTCCATTTTACAAAAAAAGAGAGCTGAGGCACAGAAAGGTGAAGTATCTTATCTAACACTGCACAGCTAATAAGAGGGCTTACGCTGAACCACTAGCCTATACATCTTTGCTATATTTGGCAATGAGACCTGGCTCCTAAAATAACCTCTTAATGAATATTGCACAGAGGTGGCACATCTGGAGTTGTCTGCAGAATTAATTAAGCCCAGCCCAACTAGCATGGCATTCCAGACTTCCCTGGACAGCATCCTACACTCTCTGCACGCTCTCTCTAAGGCTGGTTTCTCACCATGCCCTCAACACACCTGCTTTATCCTGCTGCTGCTGCTGCCTTGAATGTCTTTCTCTATATATATTCTTTTCTTTTTAATTAAAAAAAATGATTTCAGAGAGGAAGGGAGAGACAGGTAGAAACGTACTAATAAACAATTAGAGAGAATCATTGATTGGCTGCCTCCTGCCACCCCACTCTGGGGAATCCAGCTCACAGACATATTCCCTGACCAGGAATTGAGCTGTGACCTCCTGGTTCATAGATCAATGCTCAATCACTGAGCAACACCGGCCAAGCTTTCTCTCTGTATCTCCTTAAATCTCCAATTCCCTGACCATGAGTAGAAATAACTTTGCTCTCCTCTTTATTACCACCAGGCCTTGTCCCTGAAGCACAAACTTGCCTCATTCTGTCTCCGAGTTTTGCACATATATTCAATATCCTCTCTTAAACTAGTGGTTTCTGGAGGCCAGGTATCTTGCCACATAATAGCAGTAATGCCTTCTGGAATAGGACCTCAATAAATATAATCGAATCAGGCAGTTCCTATTTCAAATGTCAACTCTTTGATTGACTCATTTACTACTTGCTTCTGAGTGGCATGATCTGCCTATACATCTATTCTTGCAATATTACCAATGAAATTTCACTTTGTCCTCATATTTTATACAGGGTTTTATTGTAGCTGACAGATCAATAATGCATACCTAGTTAGAAGCATAGGTCAGGCCTGGTCTGTGATTGAGAGGCTCCCCATCGTTCTGTCTTTGAAATAATGGAAGAGTTGGACCAGTCTGTTACTGTGGCTGTCACCTTGCCTGGTTACACGAACCCTCTGGGCCTCTCTCACAGGGTGTTTGTGAGGATTATTGAGATCAGGAATAGAACCCCCTGACATAAATAGGAATGAGTGTTAACAGGAGCTGGATCTCTCTGTATGTGATGTGTGTACAACTTGTTCGATCCTTGTAACAGACTTATGTGGTAACTACTCATCTCCATTTTATAGGTTTGAAAACGGAGGCACAGAGAAGTTAAGTAGCACATGTAATGTTGCACAGGGAGTGAGGAGCAGACCTCACATTTGGACTCAGAACATCAACCCTAAAACTAAAACATTCTTTCTCTTTAGATAGTGGATGGAAAGAATGTATATGAGAGATAGCCCGAGACCATCGCTATCTCCCATTTACTTGGTTTCTCAAAAAGAAAAAAAAAATTCAGCAAATGAGTGTTTCATATACAAGGTGTCCCCCAAAATGTATATACACTGTAACAGCTGATAGCTCAATTTAAAAATATATATATATATGTATATATATACATATATATACACACATATATATATATTATTGATTTTTTACAGAGAGGAAGGGAGAGGGATAGAGTTAGAAACATCAATGAGAGAGAAACATCAATGAGCTGCCTCCTGCACACCCTCCACTGGGGGTATGCCCACAACCAAGGTACATGCCCTTGACTGGAATCGAACCTGGGACCTTTCAGTCCACAGGCTGACGCTCTATCCACTGAGCCAAATCAGTTTCGGCGCTGACAGCTCAATTATGAAAATCAAATATATTTTCATAAACATTGCCTTTATAATTATTAAAGTGTGTATATACATTTTTGAGTAGTTACCATGTAAGTGTGTTACAAGGATCAGACAAGCTGTGCACATAACACATACAGAGAGTCCCAACCCCTATTAACCCTCACTCTGTATTTAAGGAATGAGCTGGATTCTTGCAAAGCCAATTCAAATCCTGATGTGAATACTGCGTTCCTTGTTTCTGACCTTAGATCTCTTTCAACACATCTTTCATTACAGTGAGAATCTAATTCCTAGTGATTGACCACGCTTCACTGTTAGGCTGCAGGGAACACGGTGGGCACCAGGCCTTACAGTGATGAGGGTGGAAGCCTGTGGCCTGTGTCACACAAACTTGTGTTCTTGCCAAAACTGGGTTGGCTCAATGGATAGAGCATTGGTCTGCGGACTGTAGGATCCCAGGTTCGATTCCGGTCAAGGGGGTTGTGCAGGAGGCAGCTGGTCAATGTCTCTCTCTCATCTACGTTTCTCGCTCTCTATCCCTCTCCATTCCTCTCTGTAAAAAAATCAATAAAATATATTTTTAAAAAAACTTATATTCTTCACTGCACTGACAGAAACCCCACATGACAACTTTATGACTCCAAAAATGAGTGACCAGTCCTAGAATATAAAATAATTGGAGATGCTGGCTTTCCTAAAACGAGCTATGCAAACACAAGAGTAAATTCCAGCCAAATTCTGGCAATTATTTCTGACAGCATAAACAGAATGTCTTATTGGCAAACACTGTATCTGGACCTCTCAAAGATGGTGCGTGATATCCAAGGTACCAGGAGCTGCAGAAGAAATGCTGGTAGACATAAACTTGGTAATGTCATCTTTGTTTGCACTAGCAAAGAGTTGGGAGGTGTTTCTGCTTTTGGTTTCATTTTTAACAAATCTGTGACTTTGGTATAGACCTGAGATCTTCAACCTTTGGTTGTCACCAGTGGGGAGGGTTGCTACTAATACCAAGAGGGCAGAGGCCAGGGATAGCCCCAAGGTATATCCAACTCAAAATGTCAACAGGGCTGAGGCTGAGACCCTGGGATAGTCCCATTTCAACTGTTCCATTCAATAATGAGAATGCATAATAGAGTGAAACTTGAACATCTTAAATATTTGCCCAAATGCATACTATATGCAAACATGTAGACCTTCAGAACTCTTTTTCAGTCCCCATCAGCATTGAGATTACATGTACACTCCAATGTACACTAGCCCTTCCTGTTTCTGAGCTTCTCCACCCTGCCCCTCCCCAACATTTCATGTCTCTTCTAAGCACAGAGGTAATCAAAGCTTAAAGTGGAAGAACCCGGTTAAAATGGTGCATAAAATGCACTGATCCATGCTGTCACAATCAAGGAGGGAAAGAGAAGGACAGGCACCCGACTTCCTCCACTGAAGGTGATTCTGTGTATAATTCTTCAAGGCCAGACTATGGCCTTCTTCCAATGTCCCATCATCCTGCCTTCTGCTCATAACAGCCCCTATCACAAAATGATATACTCTAAGAAAAAATTTTTTAAAAATATTTCCCTAAATTACATTTTTAACTAAGAAATGAAACATGAATGGTTAATGAGCTTCCCCTACAGTCCCTCAAACTTTAGACATCTATCACATTTGCTATTTACAAAAAATACATTTATTTTTAAATGTCAGAAACGTAATAGCCGTTTATAATCTCATGCTTCCTCTTGCCTGTACATTGGTGGTTTCTTTCTTTTCCTTCAGATAGTTTCCCATTCATTCTTCCTTTCCACACACATTCTTTGGGACATCCTGCTGTCTTCTGCAGAGAATCCAGACAGAGTGAGAATATTTCCATCTCATAAGACCTCAGAACTCTATCCTCTTCACTCATCCGGTGAGGTCCAACCTGGAGAAAGAGGGGAGCAGAACTTTCTGGTTAGGAGTACCTGAACAGCGCCCCCCAACTGCTCCCCCAAAACCCACCTCTCCTGTATTCCACTGAGTGTTCCTTTAAGAAGTGCTGCTGTTTGCTAACATACTCAGGTGCAATTCTGTTCATTTTAATAAGACCAGGACGATCTGTCCCAAGTTCCCAAAGGAAATTTTAGCTCTCTGCATTTGTGTGTTAAAAAACTTAAGCGGCAGGGAGGGGTGATGGATGCCAGGGGCTAGGTTTAGGCTGGACGACAATATTTCCCCCTCTCGGCCTCTGTAGCCGCCCGTGCACCTATGAAGTAACTACCTCCATCCCCTGCGGTCAGTGTCAAGATTTCGCCGGACCTGGCCTAGTCTGTGTCTTCCTGCCTTCGTAAGTCTCAGGAAGCAGTAGTTCTGGATTTTTTAAAAGAAGGTACTGTTCAGCTCCAACATTTCCTCCTTCTGGTGACAGGAGAATGCCAGCTCTTCGCTTTCACTCCAGGAGGAGAAGGATGCAGGGCAGCTGGGGCTTTGCTAAGAAAGTGCAAACGGCCTGGTGATTACTGGCTTCCCCTCTCGGACGGAAAAATGAGATCATGATTTTCACAGACAGGAACCGCCGCCGCCTCCCCTCCCTTCGCGGAGCCCGCGTGACATCACGGGTGAGCGCTGCCGGTGCTGGCGGAGGACGCAGCCCCGGACCCAGTAGGATCCACCGGGAATAACGGGGGTGCAGCGGGCGGGGGTGCGGGAAGAGAAGACAATTCAAGACCAGGTTTCCCACCAAGGCCCTGAGTGTGGCTTCGAGGTGGGGGGAGTGCTGCACGGGCGCCACATCCTTACGTGGCCGCACCCCAAATCCCGTTCGCATCCTGCCCCACCCTCCAGCCGCCTTCACCTCCCAATTCCAGCAAAAACCGGTATCCAAAGCGGCGGGGGGAGCTGCCTCCACAGGCCCCAGGGGGACGGCAGAGACACTTCGGGCCAGGGAGGACCCAGGCAGGCACCCGCATTTGGGGGGAGTGGGGCGAAGGCGGTCGCTGCTGCGCCCCCGCCCGGCCCAGCCCGCGGCGCCTCCCCCGCCCGGGGACAGGAGCCGGGGGGGGGGGCGGCCGGGGGGGCGGCCGAAGCGCCTCCTCCTCCTCCTCCTCCTCCTCGTCGCCGGAGCCGACGCTGCGGCAGAGGGCAGGCAGGCGCCTCACCTCGCCCCCCATGAGGGGCGGGTCATGCCATGGCAGCGCCGGCGAGCGGCAGCGGCGGCGGCGGCGAGCGGCACTCCGCCGGCAGCCCCGGGAGCTCGGCCGGAGCCGGGGCCGCGGCGGCGGCTGGAGCCCGGGACGGCGGGGACGCGGGCGGCTGCAGCGCGGCGGGGACGGCGCCCGGCCTCCCCGCGCTCGAGGACTACGAGTGCAAAATCTGCTACAACTACTTCGACGCGGACCGGCGCGCGCCCAAGCTGCTGGCGTGCCTGCACACCTTCTGCCAGGAGTGCCTGAGCCAGCTGCTGCTCCGCGCCGCCGCCGCCGCCGCCGCGCCCGAGCGCCCGCCGTCCTGGCACGGCCCGCCCGGCGCCATCGCGTGCCCCGTGTGCCGCCACCGCACGCCGCTGCCCGACAGCCGCGTGCACGGCCTGCCCAGCAACACCAAGCTCGCCGAGGCCTTCTTCCCGCTGGCCCTGCGCGCCGCGCACGACCCGCTGCCCCAGGACCGCCTCCCGCCGCTGCCCGCCCGCCGCCCGCCGCCCGCTGCGCTCCCGTCGCCCGCCCCGGCCCCGGCCCCGAACCCGGCCCCGGCCCCGGCCCCGGCCCCGCCGCCCGGGGAGGACGCCGCCCGCCAGCCCCGCGCCCGCGCTGGCCTGCGCGCCTCCTCGGGCGCCTACGAAAGCTGCCATCACTGCAAGCGCGCCGCGCTCACGGCGGGCTGCGTGTGCGTCGTCTTCTCCTTCCTCTCCATGGTGGTGCTGCTCTTCACCGGCCTCATCTTCGTCAACCACTACGGCGGCGGCGGCGGCGGCGGCCCCGGGGGACCCCCCGGCGGCGGGGCGCCCGCTGGCGCGGCCCAGGCTGCCGCGTCGCCGTCGCTCGTGGGACCCATCTGCCTGTCGGTGGCCAGCATCCTGGCGCTCTTCTCGGTGGTCGTCACTTGGCTCATCTGCTGGCTTAAGTACCGGACCCCCGAGGGCGCGGCCGCGGGCTCGGCTGGGGGCGGCGGCCGGAGGACGCGGGCGGCGGCGGCGGCGGGCGGCGTGCGGGGAGAGCGGCACAGAGTGGGGTGACTCGCCGCCGAATCTCCCGCCTGCACGCACCTTCGGTCCTGCGAGGCCCGAGAGGAGGGGGCCTTTGCCTCCGTGCGCTCGAGCTTCTCCGGCCTCTCCCCGTGGTCCCGGGTCGCGCACCCCCTCGCCGCCCCGCCGCTCCGAGACTTCGGCTTCACGCCCCGCCTCCTCCGCGCTGGGCCGGAGACCTCGGGGAGGCGGGGATGCAAGATCAACCTCCGCTCCAGGCACCATCCCCATCCTCTCCGGCGTGGAGTGCTCTGCCTCCCTTCCCAGAGTCGGAGGATTTGCAAAGAGAGCTGGAAAGGGGAGTGGGGCCCCCGCCGGCACGCTGGTTTTCTGGCCGCCGCGCCTTCAGTTTCTGTAAGCGTGCAGGTGCGCGCGCACACGCGGCTGCAGCAGTTGTGGCTGCCAGTTGTCCGGTGGGAAAACGGATGAGATGCAAACAGAGGAAGGTCTCCCCGCTTCCTGGCGGTGCTGGACAGCGAGTGAGCTGGAGCGCCCAGAGCGGTGATTACTCCCCGCGGGCACACCTACCGCCTTCAGCCGTGCGCGCAGCGGCAGGTGCACAGCGCGCGTGCGCGCTCCGGGGTGCGGGCGGCCGCGCGGATCGCTCCAGGCGGAGGATCTTGCTGCCCGGACCCCGCAGAGACCCAAAGGTCCTGGAAGCTGGGCTCCTGGAACTTGCGGTGGTTTTATGCGCGGCGTTACTACCAGGAAGTAATTTCCTCCTCGGTCACTGGACTCAGGGAAATTCACGAGCCTGTTCTCCATCTCATCTCAAAACTGACTTACTGTTGCCCCCACCTGGAAGATATTGAAAGCTATTCACGCAGAAAATAAACTGCAGGCTTCCCTCGCCCCTTTTCCTTAATTTCATTTAAAATATAATTTATTTAAAAATATATGCATCTGGAAATTTTCAGAAAAGATGTTTGATGAGCAGTAACATTTCTTCCATACCTCCAGTCCAAATACATTTCGAAATGATTCGGAAAAAAAAAAAGGCGTGTTCGTAACTGATTCAAGATTTTGTACTGTGAAACTACTAACGACTTTCAACTATCTGATCAAATAGAAATAGTGCCCAAAGACTGAACTGACAAGTCTTTCTTCCTTCGTTTACAAATATATATTACATTTAACAGAAAAATATTTTGAATTTAGCTATTTGATATAGGAAATTACTGAAATGTTACATCCAGTCATATTAAATAAAAAAAGAATACATATCTGTCTGATTTTGTAACTAGAAAGATGAATTTCAATGTGTGTTGCAGGTAGATCCGATAGCTTTTTAAGGTAAAAACACAAAAACAAACAAACAAAAAAACCTACCACACACCAGGTGTATTTTATATGAAAACATTATTCCATCTTTTGAGATCTGGAATAAGTCCCAGTTTTCATACCTACGCATCACAGAAACTACTGAGGACATACTGTTATTCCTCATGTGTTTATGCAAACTGTCTGCATGATATTCTGACACTATTCTAGTACCTGAACTTGAATGAATATTTGTATCTATCATAGGAAGCAGTCATTTACTGGCCATTGATAAGTAATATGGCTATGATTTAGGAATTGCAAAATGATGTGTTCTATGTCTGCATTGTCTTAATTAAAACAAGAAGCATTTATAGAAAAAACCTATTTTATGAAATTTATTATGAGGAAATTCCTTCAAGTTATTTGTGTGCCCTTTCTTTCCTGAAATACACAATCCCATGAAATACCCACCCTAGCAATGTACATTCCCACATGTGAGTTAGTTTTCTACCAGCTCCATTCATACTGTGAATTTAGGATTTGGGATTGTTTCTAGGTTTTAATAGGATTTCTGAAGGTCTAATGAGATCTATTCTGGAGGGAAAAGTTGCTTCCATCCATTACTATATAAGATTTTGTTCTCAGTTTCTGCAACATGTTTTTAGGTTCCTAATACTAAGGATTACATTTCAGAGATTGGTATTAATTTCTACTTCCAACAAGTAATTTGTGTTACTTCTATATTAGCTCTTATCTTTTATTCTTTGTTTACCTCCAGATACTCAGATTCTGTTTATATTCACACCTGTTTAGTTTTACAAGTGTATCTACACATGTGTATGTATGTATGTATGTATGTATGTGTACACAAGCAACAGCATGTGCCTTTGTGGATGCGACCATGTATACATATGAGCACACACATTTGTTATTTCATTCCCTTAATTTAGCAGCCTGGAAGTCTATCTAAAGTTACTTGGGGACCAGCTTGCTCTCTCTATATATATTTCATTGATTTCAGAGAGGAAGGGAGAGGGAGAGAGAGAGAGAGATAGAAACATCAATGATGAGAGAGAATCATTGATCAGCTGCCTCCTGCACACCCTACACTGGGGATCGAGCCCATAACCCAATCATGTGCCCTGACCTGAATCGAACCGTGACTTCCTGGTTCATAGGTCCATGCTCAACCACTGAGTTATGCCAGCCAGGCCCAGCTTGCTTCTTTTAGAGTATATGTAATGTTCCACAGAGGAGGGTTCATCCGTGACATAAATTAAATTATCCCTCGTAAATAAGAAATACATTTTAAAATCATCTTGGTTGCAATGCAAGCAACATTTTGAGTCTTTCATAGTTGCACATATAAATTTCATGTAATGAGAAATTTGAGGTAGAACTCTTTAAAATCAAACATATGATTACTAGCCCATCACCTAAACGTGGAGTGATTCTTTTTCTTAGCTGATCTTGTTTTGTTGTTCATTTCTGACTTTTAAGGAATCAAGTGGCATGGGATGATAGAAAACATTTGTTTGTTGTCTGGTGATTTTCTGATATTCTGATGTTCCCCTATTCTGCAGGTGTGATTTAATTATTTCAGCCTACATCATGCAGAAAGTCCTGCACATGGGTATCTTAGAGCAAGTGTTTAGGAAGTAAGTGTTGAAATGATCAGTGGGTTGTCTGGAAGCCTCCTGGTGGCAGTGAGGTACATTTTCCCCTTCCCATTCTCATCTTCTTGGAAGAGCTTAGTTCAGTCCTGGACTCATCTCCAGCTCATGAGTATAAACTACAGGTCAAGTCACTGCAAGGAAAAAGACCTTCTCAGCCTGTACACTTGCTCAAGAATCATGGTCCTCATGGCCCAGATTCTGCCTAAGCTCTGGGTTGCAGGTTAGGATTATCATCATGCTTCTATAGGGTTTAATTTCAAGTGACAAAACCTCATCTTATAGATGATGAATTAAATACTTGGCCTCTGAATGCAATATGATCTGGGGAACAATGTCCACCCCCAGAAAGAACATTGGGTTTGGGGTCTAAAGACCATTAACTATATCCAGAAAATGTGAGTCTGGATACTGATCTCTCCTTTCTTTGAGCCTCAAAATCCTCATCTATAAAATGGGAATAGAAAGTACCAGTCCTGCTTGCTTCTTTGTGGGGTTTGTGTAAGGATTTCTATACATAAGAGAGTATATAAATGAACTGCTTTGGAAACTAGAGCCTTATGTGGATCTGTGGTCTTGTTTTCTTTCAGGTCTCCAAGGCTGTAATAAATACCACCTTCCCAGAGAGGTTTACCTTGACCACTCTATCCCAAATGTCTACCCATTGAAGTTTTATTTTCTTTCTAATGCAACCACCTATATTTGTTACATTCTTTATTTCAATCTTCTGTAACCAAAATGTGAAAACAAGTAAGGAACCCTGTCTGCTCACCCACTCTACTCACAAAGCCTTAGCCAGTTCTCAGCACATAGTAAGGGCCCCCTAAATATTGGGTTGAGTTGGCTGAATGGGAAACTCCCCATTGACTCTTCAACAACTTGCTCCCCTCCCTCATACTGTCACTCAGTACGTCCTCAGATCCTGGATGACTTAATTGTTTTCCCCTACTTCATGAGGATTTGTGAAAGGTGAAAAAATATACCTGAAAAGCCCTTTGCGTTTTGAGAAAGGTCAATATTACCGTGGTGAAACTTTTATTGCACTGTATTCAGTGACAGGAGCCACTGGAGAGACTAAAGGACATTTGATCTCCATTTCCCATGTTTTCTGCACTGTGAGATTTCAAGGTCTGACTCCTTTTAATTTCCTGCATATGAGCCTTTCTGCACCATCCTCTCCAAAACTGACAGCACCTGCAAAGTCAGAACAAGCTTACATTGCAGTGAAATTTTCCACAATATGGAGAACAAATTATGTCGAATTTTACATTACTTGTTACTCTCCATAGTTATTCTTCAACCTTTGTCATTTAAAATAAATTTTCCTTCCAAGACTTGATATATTTACACACTCGGTAACAGGATAATCCCCCATTATTTTATGACCCAACTAATATCATTTTAAATCATGTTTCCCATTAGCTAATATTTGTATTTTAAATTTATGTCATACTGCACCCCTACTAAGTATGCATTTACATTTCTTTCTTTGAAATATGTTTTTATTATATATGTTAGAGTGTAAATTTGATGAATGTATAATATTTACTACAGTAACCATTTCTGAAAAGTGTTAGAAATAACTGCAGCCAGATCTCAGTTCGAAATTATGTGAATAAGAAAAATGTGAGAGCGATTTCATCTGTCTTTTACTTGATCTCATTTGATTGTCCATATTTAAAAGCTTTGTTAATTGTTACTATTCATCAAAAAACAAGGCTCTTATTCTGTTATGCAAAACTAAAATATGCCCAAGAGAAGCAAATTTGTTTCCATGATAAATTTATAATTATTCCTGATGATAAGATACATTTTGGGAAGTGAGGGTGGTCAATGTCCAACTTCCAAGAATATTTCTAGGAGCTTAGGAAGATTGTGTACACTCCCTTTAGAAAAAAATGTCTTTTCAGGTAAAACTGGATCTTTGGTTTAGAAATACCCCGTCTCCCTGGGATAGAAGTGGGAGAGCATTGAAGGGGGAGGGGTTGGGAAAGAGGGTAGAGAAAATATGCAACCAAGTTGTCATCACTCCTATTATTATAAAACCACATCACC